CACCTTGTTCTGCAGCCCTATGGCTCCCTGGCCCTCACAGGGCAAAGGCACAGTGCCCCTCACACCTGACACAGCCCACTGCCCAGATGACCTTCCCTGCACCCTCAGTTGCCAGGTCAGTCAGATCTTCAGATCCCTGTGACAGGTGCCCTTCTCCTCCTGCCCACCTCCCCTGAGAGCTGAGATGCAGTGTGAAAACCAACTCCTGGGAGTCAGTCTTGCCCTCCTCCTAGGTCATCCCTTCCTGCCGGGCCCAGGACCTACAGGCTGGCCAAGGTCATCTGTGAAACCGCAGGTCCATCAAAAGCCACAAAGCAAGAGTGCGCTGAGGCCACTCTACAGACCAGGCTCCAGCACCCGGCACACACTCGCTCCTAGGACAGCTGTGGAACAGAGAACTTGAGTGATGTGCTCCAAGTTCATGGCTGGCCACGGTGGCTCCCACTGCCTTCCCAAGAAAGCACCATGTGCCCATTGTGCTAGGCTCAAGCAGAAGCACTTCCAGGCCTCTATGCGAGGCCTGTGCACTGCCCGCGGGCCTCCGCTGTCTGCAGGGGCAGCGATAACACTCAACCTGTGTTGAGCCAGAGTTTCTAAAGCACTTTTACATCCATTATCTCATCAAAACTTGACTGCAACCTGTGCCAGAAATATTTTTATTATCTCCATTATAGAAATGAGACAAGAGAAAATGGGGGAAAATAGAGATGAGAGATTGAGAGAAGAAAGGCAGTATCTGGGTCAGACCCCAGACCCCCTGATAACCTGCTCAGGACCCTAGCTGAGCCTGGAGAAACCTCCTCTGGGGAAGGTGGGATGAGAGGGGTGAGGGGCTGCTCCACTGAATTTGGGGAGTCAGGACAGCCCTGGAAATGATTCAAGTTACCCTGGGAGAAGGAGGCTGCTTGGCTCGCGGGAGCTGCTCCCCAGTGGCCCATCCATCTTGGCCCCTCATCCCAGACCCAGCCTGCTCTGTGAGGCCTTGCTGGGGCCTCATGCACTCCCAGAGTCTCTGCTGTGTTCCAGCTCCAGTCGGTCTGCTCCTTTGCCCGGAGCCTCTCTCTTCTGTTTTTCTTTCTCTCCTTTCTTTTCCAACTGCTCTTTTCTCCCCTTTTCATATCTCCCCAGGACTGTCTGGCTGTCCTTCCCCCGTCTCTGTTGCTCCCCTCCTTTGCATCCTCACTCAGTCTCTGTGTATTTTTCTCTTCTGCCTGGCTCCTCCTGCATCCTCTCTCCCATTTCTCCCACCAACCTCTGAGCCCCCTCCCCACCTTCCGGAGTCATAGGGAAGAGGTGGCTGTGAGAACTGGGAAGAGAAACTTCTGGGAAGCCTGCAAGTCTGCAGTCTGGGGATTTGTGACTTCTGGTCAGGAATTTTATCATTCAGACTGTGTTCCTGATTGGGCAGAAAGAAATAGAAAATGGGAAAAAAGAAAATCTAGGAACACGTTTGCAAGCCCGGAACTGACATAAAACAGGGTTTTATGAATATTTTCTGAGAATAATTTCTTTTTACGATGCTGAAACAGTGGCTGGTCCAGCTCGCCTGGCTTGCTGGCTGTCGTGAGCAGCAGCTGGAGGTCCCCCCCTCCACCACCTCCCTGCCTCACCCATGGGAGCTTCCTCTGCCATGGTGGCCCTGGAAAGCAATGGCAAGGTGGAGGGTTTCTGCTCAACTGGCCCCATGAGCCCAGAGCTCCCATACAACACAGCTCAAAGGAGCCAAGGCTGACACATCGAAGCTTGCCATTTCTGTCCACTCGTAACCAGACGTGGCCAGCACATTCCTGCTCCAACACACTTGATTATTGAGATCATTCAGAACACCCAGCTCTGGCAGGGGTGCCCAGACCTCCCAGAGTTGACATTCCCTGGGGCCTCACCCTCTTGTCTGCTTTGCCTATAGATTCTTTGAACTTGCCACCTCTGCTTTATCCCTTGTCAACTTGGCCATGAAAGTCAGCCTTTCCCATGGTCTCTCCCATCCCAGCTCTTTACATGCAATGTGGAATTGATTGCACTGGCAGAGCAGATGGAGTTTGGGTTCTCAAAGCAGCCAGGAAAATGACTACTCTCCCCCTGAGCCAGCTTGGCCCCAGCATCCCTTCCTTTCTTCTTTTCCTTGCCTTCCTTTACAGGGTCAAAAATGACAAAATTCCTCTCCACCCAAGTCATAGAGTATCTTCCTTCCACTTCCTCTGAGATGGGGGAGGTGCTTTCTCTTCCTACCTCAAGACCAATGGAAACAAGTCTCCTCAGCAAAGATGCTGCTCTTTCTCCAAGGAATTTTAGTAAATACAGGTGGCTTCACCTCCTGTCACACAAACAAGGAGACAGAAGTCCAGAGAAGGGCAGAGCTGGCTCTAGGTCACACAGCAGGCCAGGCAGAGATGGAGTCAAGAGCCTGTGGTCCTCATTGCAGGGGTGTGTCTGCTGCAGGGGTGCATCTGCTGCAGGAGACTGACATTGTCTCTGAAGGCTAGGCTGTAGGGCCCTAGAAGTTTGGGGGTGTGAGGGAGGGGCCTCAGGTGACAGAGGAAGATGGACAGAGAGGACACAGGCTGAGAGATCAACAGAGAGGGAGGGAGACAGCCAGGCCTCCAGCCTCTATCCTGGGGTGGGGGATACCTTCTCAAGGAGAGCTCCCTGGCCTCTCACACGATACCTTGTTGCTGAACTCTACCTCTGTGGCAGTGAGCTCTGAGATTTGTAGTAATAGGGAAGCCTCCTATCCTGGGCTACAAAGCCCTACAAAGTTTAGAGCTGAGATGGGGGTGCCCCTGAATCTAAGCATGTGGTGTCTCCCCGGAAGAGCACTTTATCAGGAGCCAGATCAGAGCCACTACCCACAGGGGCATCTGTCCATCCTCAGACACTTTTGGTCCCTTTCCTGCCTACAGACACTCAGTGTACTAGTTACAGGCACTCAAGTCTCCCTGCTTGCCACCCTCTGCCATATGGGGTACAGTGTGTCAGAGTCCCTGAGCTGTCTCTTGTCCCCTTAGTCACCTGTCCCCTCATGCCTGAGACCCAATTCCTGGGCCACATTTTTTTCCCCAAGGAGCACTTGATCTGAGGACTGTTCCCCAAGGGAGGGCCAGGGCTCACTCTCCCACTGAGCTGCTACGACGACAGGAGACTCCTGTCCTGGGAACAGCTGGTGGGGCAGGGGCAGAGGGCACGGGGCACAGCCACAGCCAGAATCCTCACCTCACTGGTGTGAGCTCTAAAGACCACCTCTGCAGAGTGAGCAGAGCTGCCCCTCTAGAGTTGTCTAGTCAGATGGGTGGTAGAAGGTCTGGGCGAACTCCAGAACACGGGGGGCTCCTGAAGCCAGATGCCACCTAGGTCTTGACCTGGCCCACCCAGCCTGTGTGAGGGGATCACCTCCTACCTGCCTTGCAGGCTGCACAAGGCACACGGCACAGCCGGGATCAAGTTAAGAGAATAGGCTTGGAACTTGACTACTTGGGTTCCAATCCTGGCTCCTACATTTCCAAGCTGTGTGACTGGAGTCAAGTTCCTTAACCTCTCTGTCTCAGCTATGTCGTAGGCAAAAAGAGCTAATTAAGAACAGCTGTGCGAATGAAATGATTGAAGACCTAAATGCTTAGAACGTTGTCTGATAGGTGATCTGCCCCGTAAATGTTAGTTTCCAATCGCACTGTGGCCTTTGGGGCGTGCCTGCTCGGGCAGCCCATGTTACCCTCCCTGGGGCCCGCAAGGACTCATTACCACAGCTGGTGAGGGGCCCCCACCGAAGGCGCGTCCAGAACCCAGAGACCCCTCCACTGCCAACTTCTCAGTGACCTGCCTCCCGTCCCCCAAGTCCCGGTGGCCATGCCCGCAGAGAGCTCCAGCCTGCTAACACGAGGTGTGGCAGAGGCTGTGATGGAAAAGAGAATTTTCTTACCTGAAGTCTTCCTGCCCCTCTTCTCCTTCTTCACTTGCTCCCTCATTCTTCCAGGAGGGCCCACGATGGCAAATCTATGCTTGGGGCTGACAATACAGAGATGAATCGTGGTCGTGGCCAAGGGGAAGGGCAGATGCATGATCATGTCTGCAAAACCCAGGCGCCCAGTGACCAAGCTGCTGTGGCACTGACGGGAGGACCTGCTGACTCGGCTGGTAGAGCCCCCGGGACTCCATAAAGCAGACACTGGGGGAGCTGGGCCTCACGGGAGAGCAGGAGCTCCACAGGTCCACGAGTCAGGCTGGACAGCATTGAGAGAATAGTGTGTGCAAAGGCAGAGGATAGGGAAGGCAGGTTACATTTGGGAGACCCTGAGGCAGGCAGTAATTCGCGGGTGTTGAATCCTGGGAGAGGAATTGTTCAGATACGAATTTCATGCTGGAGACATGGGCAGGGGCCAGGTCTCAGAGGGCTTAGTGTGGCCTTGGCCTTTGTCCTGGGAACAGCGGGGGACATTAGAGTGTTGTAAAAGCAGGGGAGATAACTGGTCATTTTGTGAGGCCTAGCACTTGCTTCGGCTGCAGAGGTGGAGTGATCTGAGGGGACACAGCTGTGGGCGGCAGGGGTGAGGAGGCAGGTGAGGATGGGCTGGACAAGGCTGGAGCAACTGGGGTGGAGAGAGACGGAGGGGTGAATAAGGGAGACTCACCAGGTCTTGGCTGCTTAGATGAATTTTTCAAAAAATAACAGTGAGTGAAGGAGGGAGAGAAAGGGAGACCCCAGAGGGAACCCTGGGTTCTAGATTTGTGACCCGATAGGCAATTCCTCTGTACGGGCTAGCAGCACATTCTAAGGGGAGGGGTCTATCAGGACCCTGCCTGGTGTGAGGCCTCTTGAACCAATGAACCCTTGCTCACTGCCCCCCCCCCGCCCCCGCCCCCGCCCCCCCAGCTTCCAGAACCTGCCCAAATTTCTGCATGAAGATGGGCCCTTTGCAGTTCCTTTGGCCCTCCCAGCAGAGGCAATTTTCCCAAATGCCCCCTGGCAGGAAAGGGAGACTTCAGCACACAGCGACACCATCCAGGAAATTCATAATGTCTTTTATTAATATATTATGCTACAAAAATATTTTTGGCAAAATAATATTAATAGCATCTTTCTTTGTCTTCTATTATATTCTTAAACAACTTTTCAAGATCGTTCACAGAGGTGAGGGAGAGGTGATTAAAGAGCAACATCATGAATACCTTTCAAATACATTAAGATCTGAAGCTTGTGTCACACAGTGAGTCGGGCTGGGAACTTCTGCAATCTCTTTGAGACCCAGGGATGGGGCAGGGGTCGAGCCGTGCCTCCTTAGAATGGGACTGTCCTCGGCCAAGACAGCCCCTGCCACCCCAGCCATTGCACCCCCAGGATGTCTGAGAACCTCACAAGAAACACCGTAGACTAGGTCCTGTTCGAAGGTCGCTTTCCCTGCAGCGGGACAGGCGATGGAGGCCCTTGAAAGCGGCTACCACGCTACTCTGTCCCTTTCCTGCCAGTCACATGTTCCCAGCCCCAGGGAGCCTGCGGGTCCCGGGGGAAAAGGTGTGCACTGAGTCCAGGGAGGGTGGCACCTTTATGAAGCCCCAAGATTGAACATGGCATTATCCTAGTCCTCCCCATCCCCCCCAGAACCACCCCGGGCAGGAAATAAAGCCTCCTTTTGACAGATGAGAAAACGGAGGCTCATAGCAGGTTGGGACTTGCCATGTTCACCCAGCAAAATGGAGGCATATCCAGAGAATCTCCAGAAAGGAAGACCCGGTGCTTGGAGAAAGGGCAGTGAGAGCTGTCAGGGTGCTGATGCTCCTGGGAAAGGGCCAGGTAGGGGTTCAGTCACCTCTCATGAGCCCTCTCTTCCCTTCTCCATGATGACTAGAGGGCAGGGAGGGAAGGTGCTTCTGGGTTCCAACCCAGTCCTCTCCAGCTGCCCAGAAGTCCCCTGCCCAAGGGCTGCCGACACACCAGCCAATTCACCAGTTGACGCCACGCAGGGCTGGGCTGTTGAAGAATGCAGGGCGGCGGGCGTGGGGGAGAGAGGCTGGACTCATTCCTGAACTTTACTGTGTTAGACAGTCAGTCGGGTTTTGTTTTGCTTTGCTTTGTTTTTTTGGCTGCTTAGATGAATTTTTCAAAAAATAACAATGTTCAAAGAACCTGAGCATTGCAGAGCCAGGAGAAACCTTCGATTGTCATCTACCCCGGTCCTGTGCCAAGACTTCAACTCTCTGCCACCTCTCCAACCAGTGGGCCTCCTGTCCCTGTTTATATACCTGTGCTGGCAGGAAATTCACTACCCACAGGGGCATCTGTCCATCCTCAGACACTTTTGGCTTTGTAGATTGTTCCACTAGCAGAACTGAGGTCTGCCGCTCTCCCTTCTCTTCCCTCTCCACACACCTTTGGGGTGCCATCTCTGCATCAGTTTGTATGCAGAGGATACAAAGATGAATTCACATAACCCCTGCCGTCAGTGTGAACACTGACACTGTCAGCACAACTGGTTGTGTGACAGATGCTAAGAAAGCACAGTGGAATCCCAGAAGGCTTCCTGGAAGAGATCCTCTCTGAGCTGGTCCCCACAGAATGAGCACTTGGGAAAAGAGTTTTCAGGCCAAGAGAGTGGCATGTGTTAAACATCCTGTCTATTTGACAAATGACAAATATGATTCAGTCTGGCCAGGCACAGAGTAGGAGAGCTGAGAGGATGGACTGGAAAAGATCATAGGGTCAGGCCATGGAGAGTCCAGAATGCTAGAAGGACTTTGGTTCTTGTCCCATGGTCTCTGAAGCACTATCTCTTGCCCCAGTTCTGTTCTCTGCCACATAGGATTCCATCAAAGCTGCAGTTGCCTTTGTGTGAAGGACCTTTCTCTGAGGCCTGCTGTGACAATGGCACCAGGTTGGAGAGTGAGTAGGTGGGACGGGAGGGACAGGTGGTATGGGCCCCAAGGCTTGCTCTAGTGTAGTGGAGGCCAGGAAGTAGACGGCATAGCATTCAGCACAAGGCAAATTTGCTCTTGGTCCTTAGGTGCAAAGGCAAATGTGGCAGTTAGCACCAGCTCCCATATTCCCTAGAGGCTGGGTTTTTGAATCTCAGAGCTGGAGAGTTTTGGGGGTGCTATTTGCAGTTCCCTCACACATTGACCCTGCCTTTACCTGCCTATTGGTGTGCCAGTCCAGCCTGGAGGAGGACTAGAGGTCATGGTTTTGCTGACAGGCCCCAGAGAGCCCCTGGTCACTTGGCCAGCTTTCCTGAGACAGCAAGGGCCACATAAAACCATCATTAATATGTCCCTCCCCTTACAGAAGTCCCCTAAACTTCTGGGTCTCAATCCTTCTTACCTGACTGCCTGAGATCAAATGGGAAAGTCCTATGAAAGGCACACAATTCTCTCAAAGCAATGGCATTTATGAGGCTAGGCACATGGAAAATGATGGAAAAAATATCAGCCTTGACAGAGAGATGACTCCAAAGTGCATGAGTGACTATGGAAGGAATCTCTGGCCCAGGATGAGAGAACTTAAGTGTCCCAGCCATGCAGATTCTGTAGCTGTGCCTCAGGTCTTCTGGGACATGTCAGGGGGTTTGGGATGAAATGACTCAAACACTGGCCAGTGGGCCGTCCTTGGGGATTAGCAGACTCGGGCTGCAGATGCTGACCCACATTGGCCTTGGCTGCCCCGTGGCACATGGCTCTCTAATCAGCTAGCCCATCCATCTGCCTATCCATCTTTCTTTAACACTTGCGTACTTGGTTGAAGGAGACTTTGGAATCCCCCCATCTCCCCAGAGGAGGGATCTGGGACAGACTAGGGCTGAATCTGCCCATCAGGGCCCTGGACAGAAGAGCCTTTAAAGTCTTCTGGGAACATAGGATTGGGCTGCTGTTCCATCTCAGTGATGAGTTCCTCTAGCCTAGGAAAGGGAGCTAGATTCAGCCTAACATAGAGCCTGGCACTGAGTGGGCTCCATAATCACACAGTGAGTTCATTTACCTCTTTGGCCTGGAGCCTGGCACAGATCTGGGCACATGGTCAGGTGCCTGGACTGTTTACCCAAATGCTTCATCTTTAATTAGCCTCAAGCTCCATCTCCATCCATCTCATGCCACACTCTGCCCTGCGCAGAGGGAAATCTGGCCTGTGTGTTTCTAATTCTTTTACACTTATCTCATCCAAATAGCGCTCTGCACAATCTGTTTGATGTCCAACAGCCCTTTGGAGCCCGCTTTATAAGTCAGCTAAGCCCCTTCCAGCTCAGAAATAGGAAGTCGCATTCCTGCCAAGGATAAACGGACTCCAGACCTGGCTGGGGTCAAGTTCAGTTTAGAGCGTGGTGCCCATGGGGCTGGCTGGACCCTCTGAAGCAGAACTCGGAGATCCTGCCAGGTCTCAGGCTCAAACACATTCATCCCTGGCTGAGCTCAAAAGAATTCAGCTGCTGGCCAACCTGCCCCTGGGACCTCTGACCATCCAACAAGCTGCCCCAGAATTCTACCTTCTCCAGAGAGACAGCTGCCATGCTAGGCATGACGATGTTGGAGCTAATCTGACACGATGGGCCATGGTGCAGTGACACTAGAGAGCACTGGACTGGGAGTCAGCAGACTGTGCAGCCTTGGGGAAGTGCCTCCCCTCTCTGGGTCTGGTCTTATTTTTACTCTTCCTATGTGTCAAAGGGAGGGGTCCTTTCCACTCTCGGGCTCTAGGGCTCTGTATCTGGGCCACAGTGAAGGCCACCCTGGGCCTGACATTTCAGTCTCCAGCCTGGGGGCAGAGGAGCTAGGCCAGTCCTTTGAGTCTCATCCCTTTCCTGTCTCTGTTGGGCTGCTGTCTCCTAGGTCCCCCGTAGCAGTCGCCCCTACACCCAACCTCTGATTTGGCAGGAAGGCTTCATGGGTTCCAAGACAAATCTGGGCATGGGGCATGCAGCACACACCCTGCAGTCAGAGCCCTTTCACTGGAGGGACCCCCTTGGTAACTGGCTGTGGGTCCCTTTGGCTGAGCAAGAAGCTGGTCCTGGCCCCCTAGGTGAGCTCTGCCTCTCTGGGAGCTTCGCTGTGCTGAGAGAGCAGGGCAGAACGTGGCTTCTGAATCACACTGATCCTGGACCACATCCTGGCTGGGTGACCATGAGCAAGTCCCTTCACCTCTTTAGGGGCTCAGTTTCCTCACCTGTGAAAAGGGGACACTCACTTCTCACAGAACAATCTTGATTACCCTGGGGCTCCAAGGGTCCTGTCCCTAAAATTGTCCTCTGTCCCATCCTGTCCTCCAGCCCAGCTCGCCTGTCTGGCTGTGGTTTCACCAGTCGCTCTGTTGGTCAAGCTGGGTTAACAAGATGGGACAAGGGAGGTCTGGATTCACACCTGGATCTCCCACCTTCCTCTCTTTGGATCTCAGGGACTAGGGAACCCCCTCCCTCTCAGCACCAACACCCCTCTCCCTCTATAGGGCTTTGTTCGAAACTTTGTTTTCCAAAGAGCTCTGCAGGGTCAGTTCACAGACACTCAGGGTTTTCAAAATAGCAGCATTCTCTTTCCTAAAGTATCCTCCCAACCCCAGGAGGCATTCAGGGGAGGGAAAGACCGTCACCATTCACTCTGGCTCCCAAATCCAGCTTCACAAAAGCTAAGCCTGTCTGCCTGCTCTACACTCTGAGGTCCCCAAGGTGGGAGAAACCAAACATGGACTCGAGGCTTCTGCTGATTCAGGAGCCAGCCAGGTCAAAGCCATGGTCGGTTCACACAAGATCGCAGATGTCCTGGCCACCTGGCCTCACCTCCCGGCTTGGCATTGGGGCTAATTTAGGAGTTTTTAACATAGGTCACATAAAGATAGTTTTATCGGTAGAATAAATACATTTTTTTTTTAATATGGACACTTATTTTACAAAAGAGCCCCATAGCACTATGGGAAATTAAGATCCTTCTACAAAAAAGAAGATGTAACTTGGTACATTAAAGCTCTAGTGTGCTAACGGATCCCGTTTGGACTGCCTGGGAGGGGTCAGGCACCCCTGGAGCTGGTGGGAGGGGCAGTGGGTGTGGCCACAGACCCTCCTGTGGTTTCTCTGGCTTCTCTGCCCCCAGCGGCGGAGGTCAAGAGGGCCAGAGGGTGTGAAGCAGAAGGCAGGCTGAGAGGCTGGCAGCCATGATGGGCAGGAGACCCAGGGAGGCTTGTGAGCAGCCGGACACTGAGCTGCTGGCTGGCCTTGTCTCTTCTGGCTGTTGGAGCTGGTCGGAGAACTGCACGGGGGGCTTGGCGGTCCCAGAGCTGTGTGTGGACTGGAGGGGCAGTGGCGGTGGGGAGCCAGTGGTGCTGGAGAGAGAAAATACACGAAATGTGGAGTCCTCTCCAGGGCCCTGGTCTTAGGGTTCAGACCTGACTTGGAATTTTTTTCATGACGTGGGGAAAGAAACAAGGGATTCAGACAAGAAAAGTGAACAGCCCAGAGTCACACACATATCGTGAGGCCACACACCCTCCCTGCCAGGCTCGGGACTGGGCTGGGCAGAAAGGCCACAGGCTTCCCCTATGGCCACTGGAAAGGATAGATCTGGGTCACTCTCGGGCCGTCAAGAGTCCCTACTGATGTATGCAGGCACCCCGACCTTTATGTGTCCCTCCCCTGCTCACTCTGAGCTAAACAGAAAATAAAACAGAATGCAAACAGCTCCAGCATTTCCCGCCTGCATGATCACACCTACCATTTATTGAGTGTGTCTGGTTCTCAAAACAAACCTTCACACGGGTCTCAGCCCTCTTTCACCAGATGAGAAAACAGAGGCCGAGAGAGGCTCCAGGCAAGAGGCTGCCGGCAGCCTTCATGGGCTGGAGCCCCAGGCCCGCCTCACTTGGCGGAACCACAGGGGGTTTTAGTGAAAACTGCTGTTCTTTGTGAACTTATAAAAATGCAATCCAGTTTTGGAGGTAACGGGTGAGATTGTTGTCTCAAGTAAGCCTGTGTGAGAAAGAGGGCAGGAGAGAAACAGAAACACAGAGACCGAATGAAGAACAAACTGGCAGCCTGAGGCAGGCACTGGGTGGTTGGAAAGTGCGGGGAGGACTCGAGAGCAGGTTACTGGCTCAGAGAGAGAGGAAGTGATGAACTGAGAGGGACAGCGGGCAAGACGTGCTGGGGGAGAGGTCACAACAGCCACAAGGTGTAACAGAGAGGCCACGGGGAAGGCTGTGGGACGGAGATGGGGCTGGGAGCCCAAAGCTCATGGTCCACACCCACCTGGGTAGTGTGGGGTGTTGGGAGGCAGGTGGAGATGCAGACAGGTTCTGACAAATATCATCACACCAGAGGGGTAAGGTTTTGAGAAGCCCAGGGGCAGCAGGGAGACACAGAAGCCCCTTCCAGGAAGGCCTCCTGGAAGAGGTGACCTCTTAGCAGTCAGCTGTGAAGGCAGGGAGTGTAGCTTGCACATGGCTGCTGAACACTGATGGGTGAGAGAAGTACTTACAGAGCCTGGCCCTGTGCCAAGTTCTCACCATACTCTAACTCAAAACCTCAACACTTCAAGGCAGGTAAGCCCTTATACCTGTTTCAAAGATGAAGAAACTGAGGCACTAAGGGGTTCAATGACTTGCTCCAGGACACACAGTAGGGCCAGGGTCTGAAGTGGGCCTGCAGCTGGTGCTCACCAGCAGATACTGGATGGGCAGAAATCTTGCCCTCCCTGGCCAGCCTACGGAACAGGCAGGCAGAACCCGGGCAGGGCCACCCCTGGGAGTCTGCATTGTGGGTGGGCCTCCACCATGTGGGACACTGCCCTCCTTCCCAGTGCTCGCCCACAGGCTGCTCACTCCCTGGGTCTCAGGGCCTCCCCCATGACTCCCTGATCCCATGGGGGCCCAACAACTGGGGGAACCCCCGTGGGAGCTCTACCATCACCACCAGTGCAGCCAGTGCCACTGTAGCCCTGGCCCAGGAGCCTCTCACACAGCCTGGATCAGCCTCGGCCTGGGCAGTGGGCAGGGGCTCAGCAGTCAGTGTGCACCCCCATCTTCATCTGGGCTGGGGCCTCTGTTCTGACAGCAGATGTCCAATCATCCTCAGTAAATGAAGGGTCCTCCTCCATGCTCCATCCCCCTACTTCCCTCTACTCCTGGTCACATTCCCTGCATAGGAGGCGCCTGCGTCCTGGTCCTTGTCCTTGTGTGCATTTCTTCCCAACCTGGAGTCTGCGCTCATCTCAGAACCCCCGGAGGAGCTGGCAGGGAGGAGGGAGCAAGCTCCAGCCCCGCACCAAGGACACAGGGATGTTCCTGAATAGAGTGTGTGTGTGTGTGTGTGGACTGCAGGAGAGTCAGCTTGGCTGACTTCAAGGCCCCTCATAACCCACACCGGTATGCTTCCCTTCAGCCTGCCTGGGACTCGCAGTGATCAGGTGCCTCACCTTACCTGTCAGGGCTTTCCCAGCCACCCTCTCCAGTCACATCTAATGTCCTGCTGCCAGCTTCCTCCTCACCTATGAAGGCTTGGCTCAATGTCCCCCTCACCTGGAGGCCTCAGATCTGTCCTACATCCCCAATGCCACCTAGGAGAGTTGTCTCCCATTAAACCTTGTACATTTCTTGTCAATCACACTGTCAGAGATTCCTTTTTAGTTGTATGAGGTGTGAAGGGGTTTCTCTGTGCTGTGCTTAGAATGGTGGGGAGTACACCGAAAATGCCATATGGTGTTGGCTCGTTTTAACAGCGTTATTAATAGGATTACATCTAATAACGTGCTCCATTCACAGAGCACTTCCTGTGTGCTGACTGACTGTGCTTGATTCTCTACGCGTGTCATTTTAGTAGTATTCCCATTTCCAAGACGAGGAAACCAAGGCTACAGGAAATCAGGACACAGATGTGCACTGGCGCTTGGGCCCCTGAGACTGAGCTGGGCCAGGGTGTGTCCCTGACTGAGCAAAAGAGACGAACACAGCAGGGAAGCTCCTGGTTGAGCCCTTGCTGCCTGGGGGTAGAGGCTGGCCGGGATCAGAGGCCAGAGGTGAAGTCTCCTATGGCCTCTGACCTAGCTGCCCTCAGCAGGGGCCATTACCTCAGCACCTTCTTCCCTCCTTTCTTTTCCAATAAAAGAAAACCCCACATCAACGAGGAAAGTTCCACCTAGCTGCTGCCCGAGCCTTGCAGTCTGAGCAGCTGGGAGCGCTGGGAGGGGGCTGGCCTGGGAGGAGGCTGGCATGCCACTTGGCCTCAGTCAGCTCCCTCTGTCAGAAGAAAGACCAAGTAGGAGTTATGAAAACTATGCCTCACAGGCGCCCAAAGGCATTTGCTTTCACACTTTGAAAACCAAAGATGCCAGCTCCCCCTTGGAGCCCGAGTGGGGTTTTTATTGCTTGGAAGAAGTCCCAGGGAAATGGGCTGAGGTTGGGGGGTAGGGAGGAAAAGCCCCTTCAAATGCTCCCCCCACCTCCCCAGCCCACTGCTCACAAAGCTCAGTCCCCCAGCTCGGGATGCCCCCTCCCCTTGCTCCCCTGCCCCCGGCCCATGCTGGGGAAAATTGTCTCATGGCAAAGTGGCCTCAAAGCCAAACCAAACACTCTGAGTGTTCCCAGGCTCCACAGCCGGCTGGCACCGAGGGGCTGCGTCTGCTCTAAGCCGACAGGGCCCCTTTGCTTGGCTGGAAGAAGCCCCGTTCTAGCCTGCCCTGTGTTCCCATTTGCCGTCTGATTTTGGGGAAGTCCTGTCCTCTAGCCTGTTTTCCCTCGGTGTACAATGGAGGAGCAGGAATAGACCCATGGTCTTTAAAATGTTTTCTTGCAGCAGAATCCAAGGTGAGATCTTTGCCTGAAGCCCCAGGGCATGAAGATGGCAGGATCTGGGAGTCTCTGGGCTGTGGCTTTCTGGCTAATATGAGGGGCTGCTGGGCTGTGCCCTGGGCAAACTTTTTAAAGGGTTCTGAGCAGACAAAGCAGAGATGGAGCTTGGGGCATATGGGGTGTCGGAGATAGGTCGGCCTGTTGCTGGGGAGTGGATTAGATCGGCTAGAGGAGACTCCGCTAGATTCCAGGCTGGCCCCTAGTCTTGCTGGGCCAAGCAGGTCAGATGCAGGCAGAGATCTTAATTTGACAGTTTGCCTGCAGCTCTACGTCCTGCTAGCATGCCTTTGGCCACAGGGCCTTCTCTGCTGGGAATGCCTTCACCTTTCCCTCAGCCTCCCTCAATCATTCCGGACATTTAAGGTCCCCCTGATCTGTCGTCTGGGTTCCTTCTCAGGCACAGGCTGACTGTGGCTCCGGGGCTCTTTCAACTGGACCTTTCGGGGAAGCTGTCCCTGTGCCCAGTGGCGGCTCATTTAAGGCTGTAAGTCTAGGACATGTTGCAGGCTCAGGAGCAGTTTTCTGCTAGGGGGAGACTGGAGGTGTCTCAGGCTAGACTAAGTCTGCCACCAACTCTGGACACAGCTGTTAGCAGGTGACACCAGGGCTCTGCCGGCTGCCAATTCTAAGCATATACTCATTTACTCTGAGCCACAAGGCGAGTACAAGGAGAGGCCAGGATTTGAATCTGATTCTGCCTGAATTCATCTGTGCTTTTATTCAATGAGTGATCCAGTTTCCCATTTCTCCTGGGGAAGTCTTTGACCTCTAATCAGACAATGTCCTGGCCTCATACAGAGACACTGATAACCCTGGACCATCCCGAGAGAAGGTCTGGATGTGCTAAGAGAAACCAGAACTGGGGAGCCCTGGGCAGCAGGAGGTGTAGAACAAGATTCTCTTCCCTCTGCAGGGCTTCTGGTCATCGGTTCCCCCAGAGGGAATGGAGACCCAGGAGGTCAATGACCCAACAAGGCTCTGGGTCTACCACATACAGATGTCACCTGTGTGTCTTGCTGTCTGCCAGGCCCAACACTTGCAAATGACCCCCTCACTGCACCTGCCCCATCGTGACTTTCCCAGCCCGATGGCACAGAACTCTACACGCTGTTTATCCAATGTGTTTATACAACATATCACACACACCCCCCCCCCCCCCCTCTCCCTGTGAACTTCAAGAACAACAGAGCTGGTGTGACCTTCATTCAAAGCCCTAATGGCAGAAAAGGAGAAACTGAGGGTGGTCACGGCTGCCACACATGGGTGATGCCCTGCACACAGCCCGCTTGGGATTGGTCTCCACCTCGCTTGCCCTGGTCACACCCTGCCCTGCTGGCCCCTACTGGCTCTCAGATGTGACGGTCCTGGAGAGTGCTGTCGCTGCTGTGTAGCCTTCTGCGGACACACGCTTGGCCCTTTCACGGTCCCCCATAAATCATCCTGCCACGGACTGCTGCTTCCCTAAACCTCCTCGGGTGTGTTTACATCTTGGGTAATGAGGGGCAAGGGGAGGCTAGCCTGCTCCAGGTAGTGTCCTGACCTGGTGCTTGCGCACACACACACAAGCGTGTGTGCACATGCACACCTGTCACTCATGCACACGTGAGCAAACCATTAGCCAGGCCCCCGATGACCTAGAGAAATCTACCCAGATCTGGGTTCCAGGGCCTCCTGGTCAAGAAACACAAGTGAGGAATTGAGGTCTGTGTGCTGTGTGGACCCCCACAGGGGCTAGCGGAGGAGAGCAGGGAGACCCCAGCAGTGGTGGCGTGGCTCTTCGATTAGATAGAGCTGCATGCAAGTTCTGACTCCACAGCTGACTTGTTACAGGGTTTGGGCAAGGTATCTGATCGCAGAGCCTTGGCTTCTTCTATTTTGACAAATAAGGTCTCCTTCCAGGACTCTTGACAGAACGGGGACATGATGGCAAGAAGTGCCTGACACAGAATGGGAGTTGGACACATGGCCAGTGGCACCGGGCTCTGCAGAGAGGGCAGAATGGAGGGTGGAGGGGTCAGGCAGGGCCTGCTGAAGAGCAACACAAGCCTGGCAGGGGTGGGGGGGGGGCAGCAGGCTCTTAGCAGGAGGGGCAGCGGGTGGGCAGGGAAGGAGGTGGAGGCTCTGCAACTGGGCAGACAAAAGGAAGATCATCTGGGGGAGAGGGAGCACCGAAGACTCTCACATGGAGGGGGGTGATGTAAAGCACAGACCTGGAACCAGGCCTGTTAGGACCCCAGCATAGGCTTACAGGCAGAAGATGAGTAGGGACAGCAAAACAGCAAGGAAAAGGGCCTTGTTCGAAGAGCTACAAAGCGGGCCTGAGGCCCTCCGATAGCACTCCTCTGGCCTTTCGGAGAATTGGAAACCTAAGAGGAGGGGATGAGTTCTCGGGGAAGGACAGGAGCCGGGCCCTGCACCTCGGCCTCTTGGGGAGCTCAGGGCCCATGGGACAAATTGGGGCCATTTGCACACTGGGTGTGTCCCAGGAAACCAAAGCCAAGGTTTCCAACAACAGGCTGCCCATCAGTGGAAACTTTGTTCTTCATCCCAACCAGATAGAAGAAAGCTTTCTTCTATCCAACCACAATTTACCTGTTTGGACTGAGAAGGGGCTCCCTCTTGCCAAAGAAAAGCTGTTTTCTTCTCCTGAAACTGGGGCCTGTGTTTCAGAACTATGTGTTGTGAAAAGGAAACTGTTTGGAGCCATTTACAGAAATTTGCCTTTCAGACATGGTTAGGGGCTGGGGGTCCGTAGCCTGAGCTGACAGCCAGCCTCCTGTCGCCTGGTGGGCTGGACCCACCACTGGCCGGGCTCTGGTCACCCATAGGGTTCATCAAGGCTCTCAGTGACCTACTGATCCGAGCTCTTCATGGGCTGCCAGTACCTCCATTTGTCCCTCGTCTCCCTGGCAGCCTGCATGCCCTCCCTAGGGCTGAAGGAAGCGTGCTTGCTAACGGTGCCCTCCTCCCCTGGTTTGAAGGGGGCATCCCTGCTGGGCATGTGAACCACATGTGTCACAGCCAATATGGTAACAGCTGTGTCTCTGCTTTGGGCAGGCAGGCTGGGCTGACCAGGGCTCTGTAGATGTTACTATCCCAGTAGTCCAAGCCAGCACTTTGAAACCAATGCCTCACGGGCTGATGGCTTGATGCTTATTTGCTCAAAATCTTACAGATAGTTCATACACCGAACCTTAAGGTAGTGGACTGGGTGTGGTCAACCTTTCATCAGTGACAGACCTGGCTGAAGGAGGATCATGAAGTAGCCAGAGCGGGAAGCAGCCAACACCTGTGTGACCCTGGACAAGCCTTTTGTACCCTGGGCCTTAGCTGTTCATTATCTGGAGACTCATCTATATCTGCAGTGCACATTTAACATGAAGCCTCCTGTGCCATGGAGTCTGGTTCCCAAGCCTTCGCTGGCTGCTGCAGCTTGGGACACCACCCTTCCATGGGACATCCTAGGTGCTCGGTGACACTGGTCACCAAAGGTGGACATTCCTGCCGCAAATCCTGCAGGTGGAGGATTAGAAGTTTAGAAGACTGTCCTGGTTATAGCAGGAACTTTGGGAACAGACAGGCTCAGAAGGTGGGGCAGGAGGGACACACAGAGGAGGGCAGAGGCAGCGGCATAGTAGAGGGATTCCTGCAGCTGCTGGTTTCCAACAAGGTTTATTGCAGATTCCCTGCACCCTGATGAGACCGAGCTCGGGCAGGCAGGCCTGTCCTCTCTCTGGCACAGTGGGATCCGCCCTGTCAGGGTGTTGCTGCCCAGGCCAGGGAGTCATGCCTGGGATGGAGTCAGCCTGCCCCTTGCCCTCCAAGTTTCATCTTCTGGCCATGGGACAAACTGGGTGCGACCCAGGAAATGAAAACCAAAGCTGACTTTTGTCCACTGCACCTAACAGAAGCTTCTATTCCCCCACCTTTAAAATGGAGAAAAAGATGCTCACTCTTTTTTGAGATTGTGAGAAGTCAGATATGAGCGTGCTCTGGAAGCCCCAAATAAGAGGATCCTCTGTGAATGGGGAAAGCCAGGCCCACGTTTCCCCTCAAGTACCCACTGGCCAAGCTTCCTTAGAGCAGGACTTTGGGCAACATAGTGCCAGGCCCAGGGCAGGTTCAAGGTCAGCTGACAGGCTCCTGGCAGACCTGCCCTGCCCCCCAACCTCTGGCTCACCTGTCCTCAATGCGGACCCAGAGGTCATTGAACTGCCGTGGCCGCTGGTGTTTGTTCTGTCGCTTGTGCCACTTCTTCTGGCGCCCAAACTCTTCCAGCTGGCTGAGGCTGTCGGGGAGCAGGAGGTGAGGGGACAGGGCGGGGTCTTCCTCCTCAGGGGGGGCAGTGGGTGTCGCTGAGGGCACCGGCAGGACAGCAGTGGCTGGGGTCTCCGGGGCTGGGCTCGCCGAGGTACCTTCAGGAGGGGGTGCTGGGCTCCGGGCAGCAGGGCTGCAAGGGGTAACGGCACGTGAGACACATATGGAGGGCAGGGCTCTCATGTGGGACAGAAGTGCAATTCCCTGGGAGAGTCCTTAGGTCAGGAGGAGATGCGGGGCTGGTCAGAGTAACCAGGACAACTGTCACCTGGTATTGCGAGGCCGACCTATTCTTTCATTTACTGATTCGATGCATACTTATTGAGCATCTGCCCTGCAGCAGACACTTTTCCAGAACTGGGCATTGGCAGTGATGCCAACAGATAATGTTTCCCTGCCTTCTCTGAGGGTGCACTTCAAAATCGATGGAAAGTAAGACAACAGGACATCAAACAGTCTTTTGGGTAGTCCTTCGGCTAGCTGCTGAAGAGAAAGATCAAGAAGAGAGAGCAGAGAGCATGGGGCGGGGTGCTGGTCATTGCCAGGTGACGTTTGAGCCCAGGCTGTAGGAGGTGAGGGAGTGAGCCATGCATGGGTTTCTGGGGGGCAGCTTATCTTGGTCAGGGTCACTCATTCAACCTGCTCTTGGACTGAGGGGTGTTAGGTGAGTTACTTAACCTTGTGGTGACTCCATCTGCTGCCCTGGAAAATGGGCCATTACAGCCTGTTACCTCATAGGGGCCTCCTGAGGGTGGTACAGTTAATGCAGCCCAAGTATCAGAACAGTGCCTGGCAAAGAGCAAGCTGCTGAAGCACTCAAGCAGTTAACATTAGTAATTACATAGTCGAGGTCACCAAATATTGCATTTTAACATATTACTGCTATGTCATTGGTCCAATGGTCCATTCAAACACCTGTTTACTGAGCCCTGTTTCAGGGGAGGCAGGGCATTGTTGATCAGGTTAGAGCTGAAGCTGGAGGTAGAGAGATGTGGGTTTGACCAGGACACTGCACCTTGCAGACTGTGACTGAGGGGCAGGTGATATGATCATACCAAACAGCAGTTTGCTGTCAAGTGCTACTACTGACCCCACAGGGCTGTCATAGGATGAAGGAGAGGAGTTCAAACAGCACCTGGCACATAACCAGCCTCTCTGTGATGTTGGCCAATGGGCAAAGAACCTGGCTGCAGCAGGCCTGCAGGGCACAGGAAATACGTGTGTGGAGCTCAACCCACACAGAGGTGCACACAGACACTCCTTAGCCTGGGAGTAGCCTCTGCTCCTCTCCCTTTTTCCTTCCTTTCTGTGGCCTGAGGGGAATTCCTGGGGGGACATCTGACCCTGGGGGAAGTTTGGGCAGGGTTTCAGGAACTGTCAAGGGGAGACAGTGCCCAAGGAGTCAGCAGCCTGTTCCCTCCACTCCCACATGCCAGTGTGGTGGGGGGTTTCTTTCTCCTTGAGAGAGAGAGAAGGCCATCTACTCAGTCTGTTCTCCCCCAGCCCCCATGGCAACCCCAGATTCCCAGGGCCCGGGAGATGCCGCAGCTGCTGGGGAGATAATTCAAAACAGGCAGACAAAAGATGGACCTAGGGAGCACCTGTGGCCGATGATGGCTTTTATTGTTGGGGTGGCCTTAGCATCCCCTCCCCCTTATCCCACCAGAGGATTTCAGTGTGCTCTCAAGACTCAGGCTGAGCGCCCTTGGAGCAGGGCTCTGGGGGGAGAAATGGAGGGACCCCTCTTTAAGGCCTGGGCTCTGAAATGAATAGGAGCTGGGGCAGCCTCAGTGGCCTGCCTCCCGGCCCCTCTCCCACCCTGACCTGGGCTGGCACAATGAACTTCAAGGTGAAGGTCCCTGGGGCTGACAGGGTGCTTGAGGAATGCCTTGCTGCGCTCAGATGCTGAGAAAAAGCAGTCTTGTCAGGCTGACTCAAGAGATGAGAAGAGGAAGGACTCAAACACGAGGGGTTATAAGCGCCTCTAGAAGCGCCCTGTGAGCAGCTGCTGACCTGTGGATGGTCTGTCCCGCGGGCGTGTGCTCCACCTCCAGCCCTGCCTGCCGCAGCACGTCGATGACGGTGTTGTTCCCCAGAAAGTGACCTGCAACACAAGACACAAAGTGGGCTCAGCCTCATGCCAGGTGACCTGCAGCAGGGCACGCCCCAGGCTGGGGGCCTACAGCAAAGTGAGGTGCCAGACTCTGAGGCAGGGCAGGTTAATGGGAAGATGTCCTGGTGTCACCCTGCCTGGGTCCAAATCCTGGTTCTGCTGTTCATCAATTGCACCTCCCTGAGGCTGTTTCCCCATCTGTAAAGAGGGAATGTCTGTTGTGGCAACCTGCAAGGTTGTGCGGATTATGGGGTGGCAGCCGGCATACAGCAAAGGCTCCCAAGGGTCTAGTGCTGCATCACTGCATCAGCCCAGCTGTCCATGCGGGGGTTGCCTCCAGCCATCACGCAAGGCTAAGCGCAAAGAAACCTCTTTCAAGAAGCCAGCAAGCCTTCGACACACCTATGGCTCATCTTTGTAAGATCCGCCAGCAACTCCGGGCTCCTTGTTCTGCGTGTCTTGTCTGTCTCCTCACCAAGTCCCTTGGGGCACAGACTGCAGGATCACTGCTCTGCATAGGCCTGGCATGTGCTGAGTGTTGGTTGGATCTGAGCCTTCCCCGATTCATTTTTGCACCATTTATCTAATATTTATGGACTGATACTATGGCCAGGCACTGGGATAGCCCCTGAAGACTCACCAAGGTGTCAGATCCTGGAGGGGTGACCATCCAATCACAGGGTCCAGGAGGCAGTGGCAAGGGCATGGAGGTGGCACAGACACAGACACTCATGTGTAAGGGGGAGAGGCCATCTCAACACCCAACCTGTAATCATTCAACAAACACTCAGGATGCACTGACTCTGTGGCCAGCCCTGTGCCAGGCACTGGGAACACAGGAATGAATCACCTAGCCAGCAGACACAGAGGAGAGGGGGAGCCAGCCTCCTCCAGAGGACGCATGCCGAGAGCTGAGAACACAGGTGGCTTTGCCGGGCTCTGGAAGGAGGCATCCTCTGAGGCTGGGCTGTGAGGCAGCTCCCTGGCAGCCCCCACTGTTCACTGTAGCAATGTAGGCAGATGGGGGTGGCCGGTGTTTACCCAGAGCTCCGGGGGCCTGCCCCGCCTGTGTGGCTGTTCGTCAGCCCCATCATCCGTGTAGAGTGCTCCCCTCCTGCTTACCAGTCTCCCAGACCCCTGGGGAGGGGAGTCCTGCACCACGACTCTAATTGACTTGACGGGTGGTGACAGGTGACAGGCTGGAAGGTCAGCATGTTGACAGCCCCATGGAGGTCTGAGGAGACCAAAGAGTGGACAAGCTGTCGGGGAATACAGCGGTTCCCACCAGTGCAACTGGGACAGCATAGCAGCAGGAGCGAGGGAAAGCCCTGCAGCCCTCCCCAGCGGCCTTGGCTTTGCTAACCTAGGGACTGCCCAAGGAGTCCCCCTGCCCAGCAATCTCTCTTGCCGCCTGCCACTGTCCCTGAGATCCTGCCTCTGGAGCACTGGACACGCGGCGTGGGGTATGGCTCAGGACCAGCTCACTTGGAGACCTTGGCGAGCCCATTATGCTAAAATGCCTCCATTTCTGTGTGCAAGGTAGGAAGCGGCTGCATACTTTCTCTAGCTCTCAGATTCTACAGGGAAGGCTTTTGATGCGAGAGACCCTCATAGAAATGTATTTGCCCTCTCTTTAATGCCTTTTCTCCACGTCCATTTCATTCATCTGACTAACACTGCCTGAGTGCTCGTCCAGTGCTGGGCAGAGGGGCAGGCGGCCTCCGGGCCAGGCACTCACTGAGAGTCAGGCTCTTCTGATCCAGGTGCCAAGGGCTATGTTGAAGGGGGCACATGAGGATTAAGGTCACCCAGGAAGCGCTGAATCAAACTTGGGGTGAGGGATGACCTCCCTGAGGCGGCACTGCTAATTGACCAGAGGCCAGCTAGGCGAGGACAGGAGAGGGAGGCACCCAGGGAGGGTGTTCCAGTTAGGGAAGAGGGTACTGCAAAGATGAGGAGGTGGGCGGGGCAAGTTGGGGAGCTGGCTGCAGGAGAGATGAGGACAACTGACAGGCCCTCCCAGGCTCCGGCCTTGATCCACTGCTGTCAGGGACAGAAGCCCCAGCCTCCTGCCAGACTAAGTCTCTGGTGCATGTTCCTGAGCAAGTGGCTTCCTCGCTCCCGGGCTGTTTTTCTGTGTGGCGAATGGGCACAAGCCCTTGGTTGACTTGTTGGGGCATCTGTAAGGCCCTATCAAGGAAGGAGAGCGAAAGTCTCTGGGAAAAGTCCAGAGTGCACTTTTGAGTGATGTGCTGAGCCGGCCCCTGGCAGGGGCCATGGTCACCCCCACTCTAGCCTCCTCCCCACCCGTGGCTGGAGCACGAACCGGCTGGAAGTGAGCGGGTGTGGCGGCCTCCAGTCCCCAGGCTGCTGCGTGAACTCCACTCCCTGCCAATAGCTCTTGAAATCCACTCCTGGCAGCAAAGACCGTTCCTTCGCTGCCTCCATGGAGACCCCTCTAAAGACGAGGGCCTCCAGACCCAGCAGTGGTCTGCTTGGAGGATTTCAAGAGCCGCCAGAGAAAACAGCCTGACTCAGGCTGCACAGGAGCAGCAGTATTACTGATGGCACAAGGCGGTTCCAAAGCATGTTCCTGGACTGGCGGAGGGGGCATCGGGAGGGTGAGGCTTAGCGGATGGAGGCCCCGGATCCCAAGTCCTGCCTTCCATGTCTCGGTGTCTAGGCAGTGCCTGCTCCATTCCTTCAACCTCAGCAGTTCCAGTCCCTTATTGTGAACCTTAAGATGCTAAATGGAAGCATTAAGATGTTTTTACAAGCTAGAAGCAATCAGCAATGATTTTTTTTCTCAAATTCCCATGTCCTCTCAAGGCCACAGCAGCCTGCAACTCCATCCTCCAGGGCAGGGAGGATGGTGTCTTACTCCCGTCCTGGCTCCTGCACAGCTGCAGGGGGCTCCTTCCCATGCAGCCCATGCTCCGACTGATGCCTCACGCTTGAGCCCACGAGTCCACGACCTTTCTCTCCTCCCCTTCTTTGGGGTTTGGTTTCATGGGGCCCACAATCGTGTTGGTCAAGCCAGTATATTCTGGGGGCCCAGGACATGTGCTGTGGTTCTCTGCATACTCCTGTCACTGCTCCCTCTTCCTCTCGGCGGGTTTTTTCTTTCTCCTGCTCAGTAAATGTGGGAACCCCTGGGAACCCAAGATCCTCTTTTCTTCTCATTCTACTACTCACAACTGTGGACAAATCATCCATCCACATGGTTTCAAAGACCACACAGTGCTGACCAGTCTGGAAATACTGCCTAACCCAGACCCACTTGTGCAGTGGCCTATTGGACACCCCACTCCCCCAACATCCTCTAGAACCTACAAAACTCAATTCACTTCCCCTCCCAGGCTGTGTCTCAATACAGCTCCATTATCCAGGTCAGATGGAGGGCCCTGCCTTGATGCTTCCTCTCCCTTCTCATGCACATACCACCAGTCACCAGAGTCCCCTGATTTAATCTCCTAAACCTCCTGACTCTGGCTCAGGTTATCACCTTCCTCCCTGCAGCCGGAATGAGTTTCCCACACCCCTGTGCTAATTCTGCCAGAATGTGTTCTCAGCAAGACACTTGAGGGGAGATCAAGAGCTTTTGGAGGGCATAGGACATGCCTGATTCATCTCTGTCCCTGTGGGCAAGCCCAAGTCTGGCACATGGTAGTGACTTCATGAATGTTTGTTGAATGAATGAGTGACAAAACCTGTTACTCCATATCCTTTCCATGATCTCATCCTCTTCCCAGGAGACCTGAACCTGCCTATCACCCGCCTTGCAGCCCTAAACTAGCCTCTCGGTGACACCCCTCTGGATTCCACCAATCCCAGGACTTGGGCCTTGGACGAGCCTTAGTCAGGGCCCAGCTCATGTTGTCCCCAGAGGCTGGCAGCCAGGGCTGAGGCTTGCTTCCAAGGTCAGAGATCCTGAAAAAGCTACCACACCCATCCTGGAACCTGCTAGAAGGTTGTGGAAAGTTTCCAAAGGAGCCCACAGTGTTGAGGCTTAGCCTGCATGGCTCGCCCAGGCTCCTGGGGTCTCCTGGCCACTGCTCAGCAGCTCCTTCCAGCACTGACAGATGTTCTCTGGCCAGCTCTCTGCAGGAAGGCAAGTTCTGTTTCATCTGCTGAGGCTGGGTGGATGAGAGGAGGAGGAAAGCAAGGGAGGACGGGGGGCGGGGGGGCGGGAAATAAGGAGCCCAGAGACAGGGACAGGAGACAGGGAGCAGTGAGAGAGAGGAGAGGTGTTGAGAGAGGAGGGCAGGGGAAGAGAGCTCCAGAACCTAAGGAAAGAGAGAAGAGAAAGACAAGAGAGAGAAGCGGGAGGTCTTGAGATAGGCAAGAAGAGACAGGAGCTACAGCCATAGTGGTAGGAAGAAAAGATACAGTGAGACAGAGAAAGAGCTACAAAGAGACAGGAATAGAGAGGGAAGGAGACAAAGGGAAAAAGTGGACAAAAGAGACAAGGATCCAGAAATAAAAACCAGGGTGTGGTGGAGAGATATCTATGGAGGACATCAGGGAAGGCTTCCAGGAGGAGGAGGCTCTGTGGCCGGGACTCCCAGCACGGGCAGGTGTTAGATGGAATGCAGGAGAGGACTAGCAAAGGGTGGAGGAGTAACGGTCTTGGAAATGGTGGGACTTGTTTGGTGGTCATGTCCTCTGACTTAGCAAGCCAGAGCGCCCTTGAAGAGCACGCGTGGACTAACAGGGAAGGTGCCCTGCTCTGAGCAAGCACAGCCCTGGATTGTTTTAGTGCTGAAAGGGCCCTATCCAGGCACAAGATGCAGTAAATGGGGCATGGGCTGGATCTGGCCCCTGCCCATCAGCTGGCCGCAGTCCATAGTCCTGTCATAGAGGCAGGGGTGGACAGAGAAAAACGCTGCCCTAGGTTGGGACAGTAAAGCCAGGCTGAACAGCCAACTGTGGCTGTGTGAACTGGAGCAGTTCTCTGGACTTTCCTGGGCCTCAGTTTCCCCACCTGGTCT